TTTTTTTTTTTTTTTTTTTTTTTTTTATTAAGATGACTAATTTTAGAAATGATTTTGGATCTTATTCTCTTTCGACAGTCAATTAACTCATTTATATTCTGGCAGGTGAATGGCACAGAAGGGGAAATCGAATATGAGGAAATCACACTGGAGAGAGTAAGTATAACAAATTTATAATCTCGCCCGGCCGGATCTTGACTCAGCATGATTGCTTTGATCGTTTTGCACAATTCGGTTGGAATCTAAAAACTGAAGCCTTTGTCGTGTCCTTATCAGTAGTTAAAAGTGCAAAACAAAATACAAGATTAAATAGACAAAACTAAGAACATTAGAAGCACAGTTAGTACTGGATAGTCAACAGATCAATTAAATTGATTTTAGTTGATGGAAAATGCACATTATGAAGAATTATTCACTGTGTTGTTTTTTTTTTTTTCTCCTTACTTGTAATTGCTACTGTAGGGGAACTCAGGCCTGGGCTTCAGCATAGCAGGGGGAACCGACAATCCTCACGTGGGTGACGACCCGAGCATCTTCATCACAAAAATCATACCTGGAGGAGCAGCGGCTCAGGACGGACGTCTAAGGTAACACACTTGGGGGCTTTACAAAATAAACACAACTTACGGGGGCATGAATGCATCCAAGGACACAGCGCAATAGAAAGATGAGTTAGCCGGCTGAGCGTTGAGCTTTCAAATCGCAATAAATTCAAATCGTTAAATAAAAAGAAAAGACTCAGGTTACATCGATTTGCAACAACTGGGGTTCCAAAGCACTTTTCTCAGTCAAAGACGAAAAAGTTCCGTTTCCTGGAATGCAGCGTTTAACAACCCTCGAGAGCCATGCCCGAAACTTTCCGCAGCCCTCAGCACAGAATCTTACAAAATTGAGCCCGCTATAATTGAAATGGCCATGAAATCAATTTCAAGCACATGCAAATGGAAATAGCGATAAGCCAACTATTTAGTCTCTTGGGAAAAGTACTGTGAACATTCTAAAATAGAGAATGAATTAAAAACACGACGTGCCGAGTGCAGATAGGAAGACCCACGATAACGCTCATCATTCCCAAACGTTTTTGGGCTGCCATTCATTTTTCGACATTGTTTTTGAAAGATGGTAGAAGTATTGTACGTGGATGGATGAATGGATGGATGGATACCTTTTTGGACCACCGCAACGTTTTTGTTCCCTTCTCGCTTTCCTTCGGTAGTGTGAACGACTGCATCCTCTTTGTGAATGACGTTGACGTAAGAGAGGTGACACACAGCCAGGCTGTGGAGGCTCTGAAGGAAGCAGGTGCTATCGTCCGCCTCTACGTTCTCCGTCGGAAACCTGCGGCGGAGAAGATCACTGAGCTCAAACTTATCAAAGGGCCAAAAGGTACGTCAAAACTGTGGATCCAAGACACATTTTCATGGCTTGAAGGATGCTCTCATCACGGCTACAATGTACTCTCTGGCTTGAGAACATTTTTGGAGGTATTGACCCGTTCCCTTTTGGTTGGATGTGCCCTTTTAAGGGCTAGGTTTCAGTATTGCCGGAGGAGTTGGAAACCAGCACATACCAGGAGATAACAGCATCTATGTCACCAAAATCATCGAAGGTGGAGCAGCACACAAAGATGGACGCCTGCAGATCGGGGATAAGATCTTGGCGGTCAGTCACTCTTTTATGATATTGCCACTCACCACGATATCAAAATAGCATTTTCCAGGGCTCCTGTCAGTCACGGGCCCTTGAATCACCTTTACCGCCCCCCCCCCACCCCCCCCCACAACCCCCCCACACAACCCACCCCAGATCACTGAGCTCAAACTTATCAAAGGGCCAAAAGGTACGTCAAAACTGTGGATCCAAGACACATTTTCATGGCTTGAAGGATGCTCTCATCACGGCTACAATGTACTCTCTGGCTTGAGAACATTTTTGGAGGTATTGACCCGTTCCCTTTTGGTTGGATGTGCCCTTTTAAGGGCTAGGTTTCAGTATTGCCGGAGGAGTTGGAAACCAGCACATACCAGGAGATAACAGCATCTATGTCACCAAAATCATCGAAGGTGGAGCAGCACACAAAGATGGACGCCTGCAGATCGGGGATAAGATCTTGGCGGTCAGTCACTCTTTTATGATATTGCCACTCACCACGATATCAAAATAGCATTTTCCAGGGCTCCTGTCAGTCACGGGCCCTTGAATCCCCTTTCCCCCCCCCCCCCCGCCCCTCAAGCCCCCCCACAAAGACCCTTTGTCTCCCATTTAACCGAGCGTCACATAGCCACACACATACAGTATATTCATAACTGTCAATAAATGAGTGGGATGTAATGTCAGAACGTTACCGCCACCTGCTGGACAGTAGACACAATAGCAGCTGACTTCTGACTTGGAAGGTTTGTTGAGTGTATCATGTGTAATGATGTTGTTTTAGCAATGAAAAATGAACTTCGTATTGTTCCCTCTGCTTTCCGGGAGGATCTGATCGTGCCGATGTGTTGCTTTTATTATTTTGTGCTCAGAGGCCTCGTCTCGTTCACGCGATCTCTCGCGGCGTGATTGATTGCACTCTCCTGTTTCTTTATGCTCAACCGTTAATAGGTAAATAACGTCTGTCTGGAAGACGTCATGCATGAAGATGCGGTGGGGGCACTGAAGAACACAGCCGAGGTGGTGTACCTCAGGGTGGCCAAGCCCAACAATCTGTTTCTGACCAACTCCTATAACCCTCCCGATCTCACCAACAGTAAGTCTGTCTCAAAAAGGAACGCCGGGAATGCAAAGAAGACGGGACAGGAGGTCAGCGTGGTTGATATAAGGCGGCAAAAACTGTTTGCCATACTGTCCAAGCTTTTGGCGAATGTGCCTCCAATACTATACACCCACGGAGAGAACCAAATTTAGAAGAACAGTTAAAAATAGAGGCGCAGGGACATAGCACTTTTCTGAAATGACTGAAGATAAATGTGGGCGCCGTGCGAGAATTCAAAGATGAGGTCGAAAGGCTCCAGGCTTTGTATTAGGGATGCACCAGTTCTCGACTTGCCACGGCTAATAAAGGCGGAGTCAGTTATCGGTGCCCGATGAACTCTAACTTTCTAATGTCTATTTCCTAGCATATTCCCACATGGATACTGAACTCAGCCACCCCAACTACCTTGGCTCCGATTACCCGCAAGCCCTCACTCCCACCTCACCTAGTCGCTTTTCACCTGTTCTACACGGCCTGATGGGAGACGACGACATCCCCAGGTGAGAAATGTCACTTGAGCCCCATTGACAGGTTTGTAGCACTCCCCTCGGGTTTTCCTCTCCTTTTCCAGAGAACCTCGCCGGGTTCTCATTCACCGAGGCTCCACGGGTCTCGGATTCAATATCGTCGGGGGAGAAGATGGAGAGGGGATTTTTATCTCTTTCATCCTGGCAGGAGGGCCAGCCGACCTCAGCGGAGAGCTTCACAAGGGCGATCAGATCCTCAGTGTAAAGACGCGCTCGGCGGCTCGCCGACAAATACTCCCTCGGCCTTTTTTTAAGCGCGTAGCCGCTAACGTCCCATCCGTGTCGACGTTTGTCAGGTGAACGGCGTGGACCTGCGAATGGCCACGCATGAGCAGGCGGCTGCGGCTCTGAAGAACGCCGGCCAGACGGTGACCATCATCGCTCAGTATAGACCAGACGGTAAAGCCCCGAAACCGCAACACGTCAACAAGGTTTCTTTCAAGAATCTAAAATAGGGTTTGCGCTCCCCAATCAGAGTACAGTCGTTTTGAGGCCAAGATCCACGACTTGAGGGAGCAGTTGATGAACAGCAGCATGGGCTCCGGGACGACCACGCTACGAAGCAATCCAAAGAGGGGCTTCTACATCAGGTACGTGTGTGAATCCGTCGTGGCCAAGAAGAAAATGGCCCCTTCGGTCATCAGAATTGATACAATGCATAGCTGAAGCCCAGTCGTCCAAATATCTTCAGTTTTGAGACGAAATCCAGACTAAACATAGATTTACAAAAGGGTGTGGGCAGTATAATCATATACTGATTCTGATCATTTGATTGCCTTTGGGAGGAACCATTTTATCAGTGGAGTGCAGGTCATTATTGTAAGCCTTAAAAACCCCAGGATGGGATTGTGATTAAGGGCTACAATGTGCTGGGGGGGAAAAAAACAGCGATCAGGGCATGATTGTCTTCAAAAAAAAAATGGCGCTGCTTCAGTGAAAATTTTCAATTTCGACTTCTAAGTGACTCATAAGTGCGGCACGGAGTTTGCATGTTCTCCCCGTGCCTGCGCGGGTTTTCTCCGGGTGCTCAGGTTTCCTCCCACATTCCAAAAACATGCATGGAAGATTAATGGAACACTCTAAATTGTCCCGAGCTGTGATTCTGAGCGCGAGTGGTCGTTCGTCTATGTGTGCCCTTCGATCGGCCTGGGTGTTCCCCGCCGGGCAGTAAGCTCCAGCAAGCCCGTGACCCTTGTGAGGAGAAGCAGATCAGAAAATGGATGGAAGTGACTCATAAAAGGTTTAATAGTGTCCAGTAATGCAATTGCGATGGCCAACGTCGAGATGTGGAATCGATACGACGATTGTATTTTCCAAGGGCTCTGTTCGACTACGACAAGACGGCGGACTGCGGCTTCCTCAGCCAGGCGCTTGGCCAGACGGTGACCATCATCGCTCAGTATAGACCAGACGGTAAAGCCCCGAAACCGCAACACGTCAACAAGGTTTCTTTCAAGAATCTAAAATAGGGTTTGCGCTCCCCAATCAGAGTACAGTCGTTTTGAGGCCAAGATCCACGACTTGAGGGAGCAGTTGATGAACAGCAGCATGGGCTCCGGGACGACCACGCTACGAAGCAATCCAAAGAGGGGCTTCTACATCAGGTACGTGTGTGAATCCGTCGTGGCCAAGAAGAAAATGGCCCCTTCGGTCATCAGAATTGATACAATGCATAGCTGAAGCCCAGTCGTCCAAATATCTTCAGTTTTGAGACGAAATCCAGACTAAACATAGATTTACAAAAGGGTGTGGGCAGTATAATCATATACTGATTCTGATCATTTGATTGCCTTTGGGAGGAACCATTTTATCAGTGGAGTGCAGGTCATTATTGTAAGCCTTAAAAACCCCAGGATGGGATTGTGATTAAGGGCTACAATGTGCTGGGGGGGAAAAAAACAGCGATCAGGGCATGATTGTCTTCAAAAAAAAAAATGGCGTTGCTTGAGTGAAAATTTTCAATTTCGACTTCTAAGTGACTCATAAGTGCGGCACGGAGTTTGCATGTTCTCCCCGTGCCTGCGCGGGTTTTCTCCGGGTGCTCAGGTTTCCTCCCACATTCCAAAAACATGCATGGAAGATTAATGGAACACTCTAAATTGTCCCGAGCTGTGATTCTGAGCGCGAGTGGTCGTTCGTCTATGTGTGCCCTTCGATCGGCCTGGGTGTTCCCCGCCGGGCAGTAAGCTCCAGCAAGCCCGTGACCCTTGTGAGGAGAAGCAGATCAGAAAATGGATGGAAGTGACTCATAAAAGGTTTAATAGTGTCCAGTAATGCAATTGCGATGGCCAACGTCGAGATGTGGAATCGATACGACGATTGTATTTTCCAAGGGCTCTGTTCGACTACGACAAGACGGCGGACTGCGGCTTCCTCAGCCAGGCGCTTGGCTTCAGGTTTGGGGACGTTCTCCATGTGTTGGACTGCGGGGACGAGGAATGGTGGCAGGCGCGCAAGGTCAGCCCCCAGAACGAGGCTGAGGAGGTTGGCTTCATTCCCAGCAAACACAGGTCAGACACACACGCTGTCTCTCAGAATGCACAGGCCCTCCCTCCTCAATTCCTGCTTTTCATTTTGCTTTTCATATGCTTCCGTGCCCAGGGTGGAAAGAAAAGAGTGGTCACGTGTCAACACCAAAGAGAGGGTAGGTTCAGAAAGCTCATTATTCCAGACTAGCCCGCTTGGATTGTTTTTCATTTTAGCGTGTCAATCTTGATTGTTGTCCTCATAGGATCACGGTCGGGACACGATGGGAACGCAAGGTAATTAGCAGGCTTCCTCGTCGATACATTTGCAACACGAGAGCGGGATTTGGGACGTCACATACTACCAAGACACAAAGCGCTGTACTGCTCGCTAATATAATAGCTCTGTTCATGTACTATTTAATTCTCATAAGAAAACCTTGGACTGCGCGATCATAATCACCTCCTCCGTCTTTCCCACGTTGGTTCATCATAAAGAAATCCGATTCTTTTCTCGTCCGTCACACACTTCGACACAAACGAGCTCACAAATGCCAACACAAGCCTGAATGTCGTATGACCATGGCAAAAAGAAATCTGGCTGATTGCTTCCCTGATCTGTCACCAGGGAGAGATAAAACATCGCACAGTTATGAGACCGTCACCCAAGTGGAAGGTAAGGCGGTCAAATCCGTGACGTCCAAGTGGACTTTTTGAATCGTTGTCATTTCCTATGCATGCTGAATGTCCACGCTCTCTTCTTACTTCATTAGTTCACTATGCGAGGCCCATCATCATCCTGGGACCTGTGAAGGACAGGATAAACGATGACCTATTGTCCGAGTTCCCTGACAAGTTTGGCTCGTGTGTCCCACGTAAGTAATGGCGCTGTCAATCAAATCACCGACACAGGGCTGCAACGCCACTCGCAGCCTTTTTTTCGAGGCGAGTCTTTCCTCCGGGAGATGTATTTGCTCTCCTTTCGCCATTGGGCCGATGCGCCAGGTTGAAGAACGTTTTTGCCGTATGAACAGACACCACGCGTCCCAAACGGGAGTACGAAGTGGATGGGCGGGACTACCACTTTGTGTCGTCAAGGGAACAGATGGAGAAGGACATCCAGAGCCATCGCTTCATCGAAGCGGGCCAGTATAACAGTCATCTGTACGGCACCAGTGTCCAGAGTGTCCGCGAGGTGGCTGAACAGGTGCGTGCAAAAAAAAAAAAAAAAGCAAGAATATTGACCAGGATACTGAAACTTAATTTTCACACACTCCTACAAAAATCTTGACTTTTGGTCATCCGGTAAATGTGAAAAACGTGCTTTTAATTGTCCGGGAAATATAATGTCTAGAGCACAGGTGTCAAACTCAAGGCCCGGAGGCCAGATCTGGCCCGCCACATCATTTCATGTGGCCCGCAAAAGCAAATCAAACTTGTCAACTTCCATGATGCTAGCTAAAATCACTACCAAAATGTAAAATGGTTGTATGTAATAAATCAGAGAGATACTGTGGTGTAAGCATTTTCTTGTTACCAAACCCCTCATGACAGTAACTTAAACAATAGTTGGATCAACTGTTCTTTAAATGCTTCCAGTCATAACGGTCTCCAAAGGAAACGGTCACAGAAATGTAGCTCGAGACAAAAATGAGTTTGAAACGCCTGGTCTTGAGCAATGGTTGATATTTTTTAGCTTTAGAAAAAAACTCACATGCAGTTGGAAACGGGGTTGAAGTTACAAAGCGGCTCATTTGTGCACGCAGCAAGGGAAACACTGCATTCTGGACGTGTCGGCCAACGCTGTCCGACGACTACAAGCTGCTCAGCTTCATCCTATTGCCATCTTCGTCCGGCCTAAGTCACTGGAGAATGTTCTGTACGTACACTTCAACTTCAAATTCGATGACATGCGTGTTGAAATGAAGTACTGCAACAGATCCTTTTTTTTGGGTTTGTGCGGACAGAGAGATTAACACTCGCCTGACCGAGGAGCAGGCCAGGAAAGGAATGGACCGAGCCCTCAAACTAGAACAAGATTTCCTCGAGTGTTTCTCCGGTAAGAGCAGAATACTGCGGAAGACTAAAATACACAGCTTATATTGGCTGCCAACAGGAACAGGTGGTTGCACGCTTGAATCATAACTGACGAGAACAAAAAGAGCGCTAACAGTTTTGCCGGCTAATTATACAGTAGCCACGTATAGCATGGAGTGGTAACTTTGCGTTTTTCACAATCACAATAATAACCGAGTCCACAATAAAAGGTAAGGACATCAACTTAAAAAAAATTTAAAAAAAGAAAAATTTGTGGCAAAATGGCTAACAGTCCAAAAAAATATGGACAGGAATTTGCTCAAAGCAAACGAATGCTCACGAAAAACTGCACTCGAACGTGGGCACCTGTCAAAACAAAAAAGGAAGGTGCAAAGTTGTATGCCTGCACGTGACTTTCATGCTAAGCAGTGAATTTGGGTTCTGGCAACACCAGATGGTGAACGTCAGCTCAAGCATCTGCATTTGCACCCCACTGCACTTTTAGTCGCAATTGCTCCATTTAATGCAAGAGAGACTTTCGATACAGATTTGAGTACATATTTCCAGTTCATTGCACACGCGTATTTGATCACTCCAGATGGCAGTAATTTGTTGCTGTTGTTGTTGTTTTTTTTAACTCTACCAACCAATGTTAAGACATGCACCTTTTACGAGAATGAACGTCACATTTACATTTTTGGCGCTTGACTTTTGAGAGGCCTCAGCATGTTTTGACATTTCGGAGACATTTTCGGGGCAAATACCAGCAGTCGGAGGAATATAAATGAGGCCGCACACCTACCGCAATCCAATCGCATCCGCACTTGGTTTCAGGTCTTGAACATCTTTTGGTTTGCCTTCTCTTTCCTTGTCCTGCAGCTGTTGTCGAAGGAGATAGCTTTGAAGAGGTCTATCACAAAGTAAAGACAGTGATCGAGGAGCAATCAGGGCCTTATATTTGGATTCCCACCCGGGAGAGGCTGTGATGCCCTCCCTGCCCCGCATATCATCGACCAACTCACGCCACCCTTCACCGCCGAGCCGGCCGCGCCTCCTGGGCCGTCCTCCAGAGAAGCTTCACTGAAGAAGACAGATAACAAAAACAGGAAGTGACGACGTGAGAAAAAAAAAAACGAGACGGACACACACACTGTTGTGTAATTAGACTGAAACAGACTTAATTAGTATTCCACTTCCATGAGGCAGAGACTGAGGCCACGTTCACACCTGGCACTAAAAAGCCATTTCACCCCCCAAACCGGGGACACAAGATGTCTGGGAGAGAGTTGGTGTCAGAATGAATGTGTGGCGATGACGAGGAACACACCTCAGCTTTTGTTCCTCGACATCTAGCAGAGCGAAAATGTCCTCACATCCAAAGGAGTCGAATCAATGGGATGAGTTCCGGCGTATTCCGGATGCGTTTTGGTGTCAAGTGTGAACTGATGCATATCTCATCTGTCGCGAAAACAGTCTGGAGGTAAACAAGACATCAGGTTTGAGCAGAGATTTAAAAAAAGGTAGTACAGGGTGACATGGGTGGACCCCAAGGTAGTTTGAAGCCTACAACTGACATGAAGGTGCCCTAAAAGACTTTGGTTACCCCATTTTTTGTATACCATCCGCTGACTATCTGTCCACCAGTCAACTCTGCCTTGTTTCAGGACAAAAAATGAGTAGTGTGTGCTGCTGAGACCCCCATGGCCAAAAACGTCTTCTATGGGCTAATCCGTGTTTGTTTTTTTTCTTGGTTCTGAAGTGAACTCGACAAATACAACCCCAGTGACCAAGACTGATCACTCGTCAAATATCACAAGGCACTATTATTTAAAGGCTGTGGAAACGATTATAATGAGAAAAGGACAAAAAAAAAAAAAGAAAATAATATGCATTGTGCATGCATCCTCAAAGACAATAGAATGACAGGATAACAAAGAAAGCTGTACGGGGGCGGGAAAAAAATCCTTTAAAAAGGCAAGTTAAGGAGAGTGTGAGTGAGTTTTGAAGCATGTCTCGTGATGAAAGAAGAGAGACACGGTCACTTGTGAGCAGAGCAGAAAGTATCGACACACACGTTTAGCCTCCTTCTGCGCACACACGCCCACGCACGTCCGCTAACACGAATTGTAACCTCAGCTGTAAGCTAGCAGAGCCCTCGGGCAAGAGGCGTCGTCTGTTCTGACCTTTGTGTGGTCACAAACCTGGATGAATGTTATCACTCTCTGGGCACAAACAGCAGAGCTTGAACGCACCCATCACTCTTCCGAACCGAAGCCCTTTCAGCCACAGACATCCACACTGTTTCCCAGTGGCTGTCCTAAAAGCCATGACGTCACGGTGTTTGCGTATGTGGGAGGCACAGGTCTTCTTTTACTCTCTTGCTTCCGATTCTACTCTGCTTTCTCCCCTCTTGTGACCGTACATATTAAAGCTAAGTCACAAATAAATGGTCTATATATATATATACAAATATAAATATATACACATATATCTTTTTTATGACGATTTCTATCAGGACTATAGTCTGTACAAAAAAAAAATATATATATATATATATATCTCTCCAAACACGTTCCATTGGTTCCTTTGTTTGAATTTGGAGTTTGATTTGTGGAATTTAATCACTCAGCGAAAAGCTACAACAGATATGTTGAATGTGAAGAAGACCTCACGAGTACATGTGACCTGTGAGTCGTCAGTTGGAAACCAATGGACACGTGACGTCGATACAATGCAGATGTGTGTGAGTGTGCGCAAGTGCGAGGGTACTTCAAATATGAAATGTAGATGATACTATATGAGAAAATATCTCCTTTGTAACACACACGATCGGTTGCGATGTGTAATGGGTGGTGTGCGTACGTACGTGTGCAAGAGAGAGTGTAAGACGCGCACGCGGTGTAGTGCAATACGGCGATGATGTTATGCAAAGATGGTTTGACAAGTATGTGTCCAGATTTTAAATTATTGCACTGATAGAATTTTACTCCACAGGTAAAAAAAAAAAAAAAAAGGCGAAAAAGCAAAAGGATTTTTCCAAGGTTTTATGAAGCATGTGTTTGTGTTGAGTTCTTTTTCATTTTACTGAATTCTTAAGAGTGCAGGTAAAGTTTTAATTGCTCGGTCATATTTATTGATTTTTTTTTTTTCTTTTGCTCACTGACTTCCTTCAGATCCCGACGGGAGAGCCGAAGCTCGCTGATGACAATATAAATTTATGTTTTGTTTATTTATTTGGAATTGTCTGTATATTTTTATATTATTTTCCACATACGAGAGAGGTTTTTTTTTTTTTAATTTGCGGTCTTGCTGTACATAAGACGCCGTCTGGCTTTAGAGTTAGCTGTGGGCACTGCAGAATTGATGGAATTGATGCAAACTACTGAATCCTACGGCCCAATTTAACACACACACACACACACACACACACACACACACACACACACACACACACATATATATTAAGCAAGTATTCAGCCACATCCATGAATCGAATGTTTTCAGTTTGTTCATTTGAGGGTTACGTGTGTATCTTAATTTCTTAATATCTCTCTCAGCCATCCATATCATAGTGTGATATTCTTCATTAAAAGAAAGTATCTTAATTTTTACAGAAGAGACTGATTACAACAAAGTCGACTGATGCAGAAGATTACATTTAACAAATGACAATATCAAGCAAATTAAAATGTTCCAGTTCAGTGAAGCGCTTGTTGTAAATTAGCTATGACATAATAAAATGGATTTAAAATGCTTTTGAGAATGGACTCCGAAGGCTTGTTTATTGGGATTTACGTTGGACATAAATGTGTTGCGCAGTCTGGGTTGATGGTTTGCGGTGCCACCAGGGGAGGGCACTCCTTCTCCGTTTATAAACTCTCATGCTGCCTCCGAACTTCCTCGTCTCTGCAACCATTTCCTCCCGACGAAAGCACACAGGGGAGGACCTTTGTGAATATGGCAAACAATAGTCTGTGCGTGAGCGCATGCAAATGAATGCAAAACATGAAAAGTGCCATTTCATGCCAAGCCTTAAGCAGAATATATTGGTTGTTTTTTTCTACCCTGTCTGTTTCTTCAAACAAGCACAGAAATAATGATTATAAGATTCTACAAACCTATATGATGACATCATTATTGACAGTGTACAGAATCAAACAATTTGCGAGTCATGATTATGTAACGGTGGCTCCTTCCGGTGTGCACGCCACAGCCCTGTTATGCCAGGCAGACACAAAACAAAGAAGACTTCCACAATTACTGTACTCATTACCCGCAGTCATATTACAGCAGAGGATAAAGAATATATACCTGTGTGTATCGTCATGTTGTCTAGCGACATGCGCCGTTTGTGTTGAACTAACTGTTGCTCGAAGCGCCACATTGTAGATGTTATTCCATCTATGCCTTTTCCCATTCTGTGCTAGCATTAAGCTAGCTGAGTTAAATGTTTTTGTGGTTGCTTTAAACACAATGTATAATTCTTTGAGTCATTATAAGTCTTGACAGAAGCAGTTTAACCTGTCAGCAGCAAATTTCTTCTTTTTTATATTCTCATCAGTAGGCCCACTCATATATTCCCAGTGTGATAAAACGACACGGAAGCGTCATTAAAAAAAAATAAAAAGTCATAAAAACATTTATTTCACCATAAAAATGTTGAGAAACTTAATCCTAACCACCGCTTTCAAAAATTATTATTTTTTTTTATTAGCCCAATCCCAGTTCCCATATGAACAAAAGGCCGCGACTGTTTTTAATATAATGTATGTCTTTCAAGATACCAGCGGTCGTGTGGTCATAGCCTCATGTGTTTTCTCTTTAATTTGGAAAATTTCAAGATGTTCCAAGTCAGAAATGCGCCACTAATTTTCTGCAAGCATCCTGTTATTGCTGCCAGCAGGCCAAATAAATCTTACAGAAGAAGCTGAAGGAATGCTTTCAAATTGCATCATTAAATCAAGCCGGTGATTAGGGTACCATTTCAGTTCCTACGTAAGTGAGCGTAGAAGCTTGCAGAGCGAAATTAGCGTGATGATTTGCTTCACAATGCAGGATCAAGGTGAAATTCTTTTCATGTCATCCTATTAAATTACCAGGAGAAATTATTGACTTTTTTTTTTGTTCAGAAAGAAGCTAATTTCCTCTCTGTAAGTCTGTGGTGCTTCATTGAAGAAGAAAAAAAAAAATAGCAGCTGATATATAAGCAGCCTGATGTGGAGTGGAAACCCGAGCTGAAGAACTGGGAAAAAAAAAAAAAAGATTTCCGAGGCGACTTAAAAGTGGTTGACTTCTGTCTAAAACCATTGAAGCAGTGCAGCCTTACACAAACGATCAAAGACGGTGTCATCATCATCACCGGAGCAAAAGGCACAACACTTGTCATTTGGAGCATTTGCAGTCTCCTTCCTCGAGTGCCGCAAAGCATTCAGTCCAAAAATGACGCTTAATTAATGACATGTAGCATGAAGGTTTCCGTTGCATGAGAGATTTGACGCGGGAGTTTTTAATACCGAGCAGATTTCAAAACCAGGTTGATTGCATGGTTATCTTTTAAATTTCGGAAAAATTCAGCTGCGAGTCATCAGTCTCCGGAACATGGCGGCTATCGGCGTCATTTGTTACCTCCGTTGCAAACGTGACAGCTCCAGTCGGGAGTCGAGGCTCCAACAGCTGCCTTCGATTGTCATATTCTATTATTTATTTCAGCGTGTTGAGCGGCTCTTACTCATTCGCTCTTTGCGTCGTCGCCTCCCAACCATTTTTCGGGGCTATTTGGCCCGTCAAGTCCCAGCTGGCTACTTCGAACTGTGCGCTCATTTGTCACGTGTTGGTCAATCGGGTTCATGTCATGTGCAGCTTTATCTGTGTACCGTGGGGAGCTAACAGAGTTGAGTTATACTCATACTGAATTTTTTGGTGAGTGGAAGACGTACACACACCTGCAGCCTGAAGCTACCACACTCATATTAACGATCAGTTGAGTCTTTCGCCACGAAACATTTGCGAGGTGTGTTCTTCCCAATGAGGGTGACACTGAAAAGGGTTGAAAATGACCGGTGATGAATGGGGTTTGGATTTTTTTCATTGAAAAATGGGTGGTGCTATGAAGCTTTACATGGTGAGTAAAAAAAAAAACAGCATTTCACAGCGGAAGTCAATATCCATCCATTCATTTTCTGATCCGCTTTATCCTCGCAAAGGTCGCGGGGCGTGCTGGAGCCTATCCCTGCTGTCTTTGAGCAGTAGGTGGGGGACACCCTGAACCGGTTGCCAGACAATCGCAAGGCACACGGAGATGAACGATCCACGCTCACACTCACATCTAGGGACAATTTAGAGTGTTCAATCAGCCTGCCATGCATGTTTTTGGAATGTGGGAGGAAACCGGAATACCCGTAGAAAACCCACACAGGCCCGGGGAGAACATGCAAACTACACACAGGAAGGCCGCAGCTGAAATCGAACCCGGTACCTCTGCACTGTGAGGTTGACGCGCTAACCACTCGACCACCGAGCCGCCGTAGTCAATACCATTCAGACATTTTCATAGTGCCCATAGAAACCAGCTTTTCCCCCATTTTAACCCCCAACCACACCCCACCACGTTTAACTCGTTCTGTGAAAGTGACCAGCCCAGAATAGGAAGATAAAGGGAACGCATGAATAGTATCAGTGATTGTATCGGAGGTGGAGCGGCGGGTGCGTGAAAGACAATTGCAGAAGGCCGAGAAAGATGCGTGAAGTTTAACACTCAACAAATACTTTTAGCTAGCTCTCGTTTTCTCTCTCTTTCTCTCCCTCTCTTTATCTATCTATCTCGGCAGCGGTTCCAGTTTGAGCTCCTCTTTCTATAATAGGATTGGACTTGTTGTAAAAGGCAGGAATTGTGTTAAGAATACAGCTTTGAGTGTGGCGTTAGCTGCGGCCCCTCTGGCCCCATATTAAAGTGGCTGGAATTAGCCAGCCGCCGCCCCCCCCTAAATGCACCAATCTAATCCTATTCATTTTTGACTGAGACAAAAGACATCTGTCCAGCAAGTTACCTGTCTTCTCTCTCAAGTAAAAGCCTCCCTGCATGCCGTCTTCCCACAAGCACCCGTATTGATTGGCTTCAGTGAAGTGGAAACACATTTAAACCGTTTTTTTTTTCCTGATTTGGGGAGACAAAGTCTGCTCTTGACCTGCCTTCTTTTTTTCTTTTCTTTTTAGAAGAGGCGAAAAGATCAGTATTTAGATTCCTCCTTGACAGAACTTGAAGCGGAATGAAAAATATCTTCAAGTGGGATGATATGTTCTCCTAGCTGCAGAGTCTTTTCAAAGCACGGCGGGAGATAAGTCGGTGCTCCTTTTCTTGCGTTTGTTGTTTGCGGTGTCCCCACTAGGCCTGCTTGGCCCACATATGACAGCTTTAATCGACAGTAGCTTGAACTCTTTCACAGAAACGAGCTTGAGGTGATGGCAACGCGACAGAGCCATTGAAATGTATTCGGTTTCTCGCTTATTCAACTTCTGCCAAAAACATACGCAAGCTGAACCCCAAAAACAAGAAAAACTGGTCCCGCCTTGCCAAGATTAAACCCTGCCTGGCCTTGTTAGACAGCTGAATTTTTAATGTCTTGTTTATATTTTGTCGTTTCGCCTCCAAATTTGCATTTTTGCACAATTATTAATGAAGCTGTCTTTCACGGCTCTTTTTCAAGAAGTTATTCAATCCATTCCCCCTTGAGAAAAGGACTCATTAATTAGATTTCAAAAAAACAGTCTATGCTGCATCACTGATGTAATGAATGCGTAATGTTATGACTCTCATTAAAAAGAATGCTGTGTTCACTTGGCTTGTTAGAAAAACATTGCACAAGAGATGTCATTAGACGTACATGTATCAAAGCAACCGCCGAGTTAGTGCAAATGCATGAAAGCTCATTTTCAATGCTGACGGGGTTTAATTATGCAACTTCAATATTATCTCAACAGACTCTTTCCGCAGACTCCAGCTTGTGAATATTGCAGAAGCCGCAATGCCTATATTTGGCAGAATGGAAAGACGCTAAGTCCAGTATCTACATTTCACAGGCTTCCGCCATTTAAATCCCAGGTGAAAGGGTATCTGGCCTAAGGGATTGTCCTTGAAAGCTCATATTCTTCAGGCCTGAACATGTATTGTGGCCTAGAAAATCAGATCACTCTCCCCCCCACCGCCAGCAGAGCCAAGATGAGGGCCAAATTCAGGACAGAATCGGGCCAACTAAATCGGGATAGAGTGATAGTACCCGCGTCGACCACCAGGTTTCATCTGGCACACTTTTACAGCATACGCTGGGTTGCGCTTTCCGTTGTCAAGAGAAATTAAAAACGGAAACGATGCTAATTTTACTTCAAAATAAAATTGACGTGTCAAACTAAAGTGTCAAAGTGTTTCAATGAAAGCGCAGTTCTCTGTGTGGGAATAAACAAAGGACACAATGAGGTAGACACACCCATGACAGAATGTATCGAGCTGTTTAGGAGTAACACCTCGGTATGATAAGTTCCCACTATTGTCAGATTTAGGCCCAGTTCCGCTGGAAAGTGTGAAAAGTAAAAGTGTGAAATACCGACAGGATAGTTGTCTCGTGTGACTGGCATAGACATTTTCATCATTTTGGGTTGTCTGTGTTCTTTTTTCATGTCTTAAACATAAATAATTTTAACAGTAAGCGAGTACACACCTTTTCTTGCAGTTCTTATTAAACATTTGATGTCATTTCTGTGGAATTTTGTTGCAGCGCCAAGAAGAAGTTACATGAATGACTGGAAACTACAAGTAGACATACATAGCCATTACGGTCTTCTTAATTTGAAATATGATTGGTAAAAGCAACAGTCCCATTGCTAATATCATTATGTTTCATCGGACAGCACCATTGATTCTGAATGCCCTGGAATGATTAGATTGACATGGCAGCACATAACAGCTGAAATCTGACAGGACAAATAAATTAGTCAACCTAGCATCCACATGCTAATTTAAAGCAGTACAGTCAAAAGAAACGTCAGAAAATGTTCTTGTTCATTTATTATTATGATTTTCTCAATAGTGCCTTGAATTATGAAATATGTTGAAAGTACAGTAATTCCCCTTTTGGCACCAGATGTTTTAGATGGAATGCAGTTCGTTCAATAAAATAACGTGGGTGGAGCGCTTTTATTTTGACGGTACGTGTCGGAAGTAGTCCGCGATATCACACGCGCCAAGCAGGTCCGCTGACCATGAGGCTGGAGTGGGCGGAGCTTGCTGGTGCTGTCTGCCGCTGGACTCTGAACGCTGCAGGGAGGATGAGCGGCAGTCTGTTGTGGGTGCGCAGCTTCCCAGCAGACGGCTGCAGTCCGCACAACTTTCATCCACTGCATCGTCTCGGTAGAAAGTCTTTTTAAACGCGGTCGAGAATTTTCGTCCATTTTCGCCAGGTAAGACCTGTCGTTACCCTATTTTTCGTCCATTCCCACATATTTTCCCCGGTCAGCCAACGAGTGTGCTGCATTTGCGTCTCAACGACAGAGCACGTTGCCTCCTTTTCTTGTGCTGCGATTGACAAAAATGAGCATGAAAGGACTCGTAAAAATGTGAAGTGGTCTTGTTGGGGATTTGGACTGTTTGGGTGGCTCTCTCTGAAAACCGGAGACTTTGGGAGAAGTCTCGTGCTACACACGAAGAGCTTTTTAAACAACAAGTTGTCACCGTGACAGATAACTTGTGATTTCGCCATCTGGACTTTCTCAAGTTGGACTTGATGTGACGCACCCCCAAATGTTTTTTTTTTGGGTTTGTTTTTCATCATCACACATATGACGCATTGTCCTTAAAAGCGCACTCCAGCTCCAGTATTTTGCCTCTCGGTAGTCCACTTTAAATGCAGACTGGTCTGTGGTCAACGAGAACACAGCCGAGACGCCGGTGCCATCTGATTGTTCATTCAAGGCTCAAGAGAGGACACAAGTGCATTGTGCGCCATTCGCCATCACAATGGAGCTGACATACAGGATCTTTGGCCTGCTGGGATGCGTCTTCCTGGACTGGGCTCCTCGGACTTGGGCTGAGGAAGGTGAGTCCCAAGTATTTTGTTTGTTTTATTGCGGTGGGAGGGGAATTCCAGTTTGGAATCCTCCTTAAGAAAGGGCATGGAGACCAAACCGCAAGGAATTCTCAAATGAGGCTACAGCAAACATCACTTTAAGTGACATTTCATGCCAGTAACCATCGCTACATCGGAATAGTCATGCCCCGAATCCCAAAAGGAGTGTGTGTGTCAATGTTTGTATTGTTTATTTTGTCATCGATCCCTTTTAATAGGTACCCGCAGTTTGAGGTTTCGTTCAGTTGTGTAGTACCTAATTTAAGTTGTGGTAATAATATACAACATACATCGTGTCATGAGCAAAACTTGTCCGTTGTTTATTCTGGACACGATCCAGATTAAATTATTCAGTGCGTTGGGCAGCAATGGCAATTGGACATGTTCGGACAATTATCTTAGTTTGTTTTTTGTTTTTTTCCTGTGTACTAAAGCTCTTATTGCATTCCCTTAGATAGGAATCAAAATGAAATTACAGGATATGAAAACCGTAGTTGAGGAAACAAATGTTTAAGCCTTGTGGGTGGTCCAAGTGTATAAAGAAGAGTCTTAAAGATCAGTTTTGTCTTGGTAAGGATCCTCAACCGACATTCTTGAGTTGCTTTGACCGATTTTGTATTTTGTCATAAAGGCTTGTGTGTTTGGATGATCAGTATACGAGCTTATTAGGTTTGTATTCTAAACAATAACCCCGCGTGGGGCTTTTGATCCACCATCAGGTTTTTCTGGTTAATGACATTTACCCATAAAGTATAGGCACAACCGCCGGCAGTTATGCGTCTCCCTTTGATGTCCCAATGCTGTTCAAAGTTTGCCGAAGCTCTAATAGAAGAGGTCACGTGGTGTTCCAGCAATTCTTTGGCGAACTTCCCCAAACCATTCCGGCGCTGCTCATCACTTTTTGAACATGAAACAATGCATCTCGTGCCAAGTTTCAATCAATGCCGGTTGTCAACAGGAACACGCGGAACATGCTTGACTTCACTTATTCTGTGGGAGGAACTCCAATCTGTCAGCTGGCTCTGGTTGGGCCTTTCTTAGAAAGGGGGAGTGGGGGGGGGGGTCTTGAGGGTGTCTGTCCGACTATAGAAGCGCATCTATTGAAGCTCAGCCGTGCTTTTTGTTGTGTGCAGTCACACATGAAAATGTGGCAATCGACATGATAAAAGTCTCGATGATCAGGGAAGTTGTGCTGTTATTGATGCTTTCCAGATGTACAAATCAATGTTAATATCAAGCAGATTTTATTGTATTTTTTTAATGTGGCTTTTTATAGACGATAATTGTTTTGTGGTCACACAATTTCCTGTGTTGTGGATAAAGGTCTGGATCTCTTTCGACAGCAGTGGAATCTTCAAGTTCAATGATCCTTTACTTGTTTATAAAAGGGAAAAAAAACTGTTCCCATGGGGAAAAAAAATGGATTTAACTAATCTGCTTAAGTCATTATAGGCACCACCTAATCTTTTTAGGAACAGTACAAGCGATGGTTTAAGTAACTTTTCAAATCATTCTATATTTTTTGTTGTTTACGTGTCTATATGTTTGCTAGCATAACACACAAATAACAAGTCAACACACAGTTACAGTACAATTCTCCGAAACTGTAAATACGGTAGCAACAATAATGAATTACCATCTGAAATGCTAATCTGTCAACATTTCATCCCTATTGATGTCGACTTGGCAAACCTTTCGCTGCGCCGTGTGCAACTTTCCGATGTCACTGTGAGAAAACATGTTCTGGTCATCTGAGTAACCCCTTGTGTTGATATTGCAAAAAAAGCCAAAGAAAAAGCAATACTCATTGTTGTGAACCCATTTAGAAGCTGTAGCTTGTGACTGACGTGTCTAATATCATGTATGACGATTAAAACTCATTCGCTCCCAAAGACATATTTCAACCCGAGGTACTTATATGAAAAAAGTATTTTTAAAAAATGTTTTCCTCCCCAAGACTGCAAAAAAAAAAAAAAAAAAGTCTGAATGAATTACTTTTCAAGTTCAAAATCCTTTGACCTTGAGGGCCTTTGAATTTGGAGGTTCCTCTCCATCGTCATGACCAAGATGGAGAGATTTTTTTTTTTCTGCAATGAAGTGAGAGCAGATGATGCTCACACAAACTTTGCGGGTTAGGGGTTTCAAGTGGGAAAGTGGTTTCAAAATTTTTTTAAAAAATAAACAAAAAGGCTTTTTTGCTCCCCTCCCGTGTAGGAATTACTCCTCGTACACAAAAGTACAAACCCCGACCCACAAATTGACAAAGACAGAAGCTTTCAGTTCTTATAAAACGACACTCTGTGCCCGGAGATTAAATTATATGAGTGTAAGCTTCTGTGGCAGCGTCAAAAACCACTTAGAAGATGGTGGCTTTCGTTCATTACCGCATTTGGAAGAAAAGAAAAAAAAACCCCACCACACTACTGTAAACAGAGCATTATTTAGAGGCGAATGCCATACCCTGTGATGTGGCGGCGCTCATGTCGACTGCGCCTGCTTTCTCCTTCACTAACGGTGCTCGTTTTTTCACCAAATGGGACTATTTCCAGTTGTCATGGTAAACGCGAGTCTGCTCCATTCAGGTGTTATCGCACAACATTAACGCTTGCGATTCGGTAATTGTCCGCCGGTGTTCGAGAAGCGAGGTGTAGGCGTGCTCATCGTTGAGAAAAATTGTTGAATGTTTCATATCGTCGCGTCATCTCCCCCTCCCCTGCGGACTCGCCTTTAAGCCGCTGTATGGTATGTCTCAGCAGCTGAAACTTCAAGTCAAGTTTGGTTTTGCCAGAGAGTGAAGTCGCCAGTCGAGTTTGTTTAAGCGGGGGGTGGTGGTGTGT